CATCAAATATATGTTTTTTAGTGTATTTTTTTGTGCTGATTTCGTCTATGATATTCATTTTTTGATTAAGGCAGTTCATGATGATGGTATATTCAAAATACTGAAAATATTTATCTTTTTTATACTAGAAACTAATGCAAAATACTACAATATTGCTGAAAAAATTTTTCCTCATGAAACTCATTTCCACAAACTTTTGAACACATATTTCGATGCATTCTGATGTGCTCTTTCAGATGAGACTAGTCCCAATAAATCCTAGAGCGCTGATCCAACCAACATGGCCTAGATACCTGCCCCAATGACCACCTAATACCGAAGAAAAAAAAATCGACCATCAGGTACTTTCAATGGTATCAAACGATAGCCTATCATTAGTAGTATTTATGGTAAAAAAATCTCGGTTCTATCTTTTATCGTTCGCGAGATATTAAAAATTTACTGAATAAAGTTGGTCAAAAATGTGACCGAAATAGGCATTACTCATGATACTTGTGACGCTTATATCTCAACAAGGGCTTGTTCGTTTGAGCTGAAATTTTGGATTTCTTCCTAACTTTGTATGGTCTATCTACTGTAAAAATATCAGCCAAATCGGAGATAGTCATTGAGCAACGTTTGGTGTGGCTTACGTGCAATGCCTCCTATATAGATATACTACAATAACAAAACAAATACATTAAAAATAGTAGATTTAATGTGGATAATTACGAAAACGTTTTTCAAATGTAAATATGATCGTACATGAATATCCTGGTTTATAAGAAAACCCGTAAAAACCATCGATGCCAAAAATAATGTTAGCAAGCTACGAGCACCAGCAGCCTGAAAAAACTCAAATGTATTATTTATAGAAAAAAATCAAAAACTTTATTCATCTTACCATATTTAAATTATCTTTGCCGAACGGTAACATTGAACGTTTAATAGCACAATAAATGAATACAATCAATATGAATACAAAAAATAACAGGTAAATCAGATTTTCAATGTAAATATTGAATGTTTCTGTTTTCGAAGACATATCAGCGTTCAATTTAAAAATATTCACTTTTAATTCATTTAAGAACCTTTTTGTTAAAGTTGAGCCAAAAATAATCAATCTACTTGTAACAAGCTTGAAAGTAAACAAATAAAAGTTATTATATTATTGTTTTCAATTCTAGTACTTACTATATCAAAAACAAAATGAACCTTTGCTATGCAATTCGCCGTTTTTCTAGTTATATATTTATCTTTTTCGTAATCTGTATGAAATTTTACTGAACGACTCATATATCACAATCTGTAATTGATCAGTCATTTTTTTCTAAAATATTATTAAAAATTTCTTTGTTTTCCATAAACGATATAGTTAAAATAAAGGTAAAGGTGAAATAAAACGAAAGAAAGACAAACTATTGATTATTCAGAATAAATCGTCCGTTACAAATACGATTTTAGAATATAATATATGACGCTTCATATAGTTTATCTTCTTAATTGTTACGAAAAACTAATCGAACTAACTTTAAAAAGTATTAATTACAAGTAACGCTCGTGGGAAGACTTGCTCAGCTCTTTCACGTAGAAACGGTGTGTCTTCACTGTCAATAAACTATTTAATCGAACAGTTTCAAAAAAACCACTTCAGATTCGAGTACCCCGACCCTGATCACCCTTCGTTCAACCCTTATAAAAAATGCCTCTTATATCCTTGACTAAGTCTTGAGGGTGGGTGTGAGTGTGGGTATTATATTCTTTCCATACCCGCATCCACATCCACACCCACCCCCTTAGAATACTAACAATTAAAAATTAGATAAATATTAGTCCAATGATTTCTTCTAATTTTTTCAAAAAATATAACCATAGATAATAAAAATAATATATAAATATTAATAACAAAGAAAAGTAATAAAATGAGAAATATTTTTTTGTCTTCAGTGTTACATTACTGACTATATAATTTTTTTTTGTTTTTCATATTTTTACCTTTCTTATGTTGTTACACGTGGCTTACACGTGTCTTACACTGAGAATTAATCTGTCGTTTGTGTTGTCCTTCTTTTTTCAATTACGAATATTATATGTTTATGCTTATACGAGTAAATGATGACAAAATCTTTTTATATTATCTAAATAAACGTGTACGTTTATAGATGCGGATGTTATAGTGACAAACAGTAATTGTTATACTAGGGGAATCGATTAACGAAATAAAAAATATAAATCAATACTAATCAGTATTTGATAGAGATTTACGTCTTAAGTAGGTGTTTTACTTTATCTTTATAAAATACAAGTAACGCTCGTCCGAGGACTCGCTTAGCTCTTTCTCGTAAAAATGCGTTTTATGCACATTCACTGAAAAAAACAAATGAAAACCGTCAAAATTTGATTTTCGATGTTTTTTTTACCTTTGGCTCCTCTTGACTCCCCATCTCTAAATAGTCCCTCAACGAATCTCAGATTTGAACTCCCCGCATCAAAATACCTCTAGAAATGTCTTTTTCTGAAAATCGATTTTCGATGTTTTTTTGACCCTGCTGACATACAAGCAAGCAAACAATTTTTGTTTACTGGACTCTTCTCCACGAGAAAGAGAACAAAGAAATTGTTTCTTTATTTTCAAAAATAAAGTTAAAATGAAGAAAAAAAATTTTTTTGTATTGAAACGTACTTTTTGTGTATTCAAAGAGTGAGTACACTACTATAATCTGTCAGGATGTACGTCCGACCGTCCGTTTACACGGTAACTCCTGAACAGTTAGACCGATTGCCATGAAATTTTGTACACAGTATAATCTCATCGAGATCTTGGTCGAGTTCGAAGATGAGCCTAATTGGCCGAGCCATTCCTGAGATATTGCAAAAATACTGATATTTTCCTATGATTTTTTCTATATTTTACACTTTTTGCAGTACACATAACTTTCGGATAAAATCCGAAGTTTTCACATTTATTTATTTTCTTGAAATACCTCATTAGAACATGATGGTATTATATAGTTAAATGAAGTATGAAATAATATTTTTTTTTATGTAGATCAGCAATTAGAAACCTTTGGTTTTCACAATTAAATTAAAGAATTATTGATACAAGATGATTAATTTTAGAATCATAATAATTTTTTAAAATCTTATCCACCTTCATCGTCAAGATGTCAAAAACAATACATTGAAATCCTATTCAACGACTCATAGTTCATTAAAGTTTTTCGAATAGAATCCAACTGGAGCAAACTTGACTACATTCTCATTCATACTCTCAATTCGTTTGTGCATTAATTCTTGCGATTGAATTTTTTGATTAAAAAATAAAATACGATATAAAAATGCATACTGATTTAAAAGCTATTTCGCAATCGCATTCTAGTGTTCCTAATAGGTTTCATACAGAACGAAAGAAAAAAGTACGTTGAAAAAAGTACGTTGAAAACATCCATGACAAATTGCCTACTTCTTTCTGAAAGAAGAATGCCAAACATGACATTTCTGTCACTCACTCACCCACGAGAAGCTCATCATACACAATTTTGCTCTAGTATCTCTTTTTTTTATGTGTGCAAAATTTTTTCTTTGAGTATTGTTTGTTGAAAGAAAAAACAATTCATTATTTCATTCTTCGCAACCATTTCGTATATAAAAGCATACGATTTCTTTGTCAATTCAGTTAACAATTCAAACATGTTTACATCCATTGTTATTCTTCTCATCTTATTCGGTGTACAATCGATTGATTGCGCAGCAAGTAATTCTCTATCGGATTGCAATACAGTGGCTGCTAATTTTTATTCAACTTGTGGTGGTGTTGCTGTATCAAGTATAACCTCGTCTACTGGTACAAATGTTTCATGTTCATCTGGTTTCACTAGTTCAACATGTCCTGGAACAATGTATGGTAGTACATGCGTATTTCAACATAAACTCTGTGTAACCTGTTCTGGTAGTTCACCTGTTCGAATTCGTGTTCAATCAAATGGATTACCAAGATTTTGTCCTAATGTTCCAGCCACAGTAAGCGAATTAAATATTGATTTTACTGTCAATTTTAATTCTGATGTTGATGTCAATTCACCAGTACAAACTGCTACAAGTTCATCAGCATTGAGTTCAATCGTTTGTAATATTAACAGTCAACAAACAGTACCATCAGCCTACAATTATGTCGTCAGTGGTAGTACACAACTTATGGCTGTTATAGCTGGTATCAGCTGTGATGGTGTTAGTATTCTCAACGTCAACAGTGCCAATAATGTTGATCCATTTTTTCCAGCAGGAGGATTTTCAGCTGAAACTGTTGATTCTTGTATGGGACATCCAAATCCATCGTCAAACAGTTACCATTATCATATTGCATCGGGTTGTGCATTGACTCCACCATCAGGAACTATTGCAACATGTAGCTCTACAAGTTCCTGTAACTCCAATATTGCTAGTTATAGTATATCAACATTTTCATCATATCGTACTAAAACTGTTATTGGAATAGCTAAAGATGGACATATTATTTATGGACCTTATACAACTAGTGGAGTACAAGTAACTAGTGGTTTTGATATTTGTAACGGTATGTTTCATGATTCAATTGGTAATTACGGATATTTTGCTACACAAACCTATCCATACATAACAGGATGTTTTGGTCCTGGAAATTATCCTACTGCTACTGTTAACTGTTCAACTAATGCACCATCATCTTATTCAAAATCTATCTATGCTCTCAATTTCACAACATCAGCAAACACGACAACCACAACCACGACAAACACAACCACAATAATAACAACTACAGTTGCTTCAGGAAATACAACAACTCGAGCATCAAACACTACAACAACTCATGTATCAAACACTACAACAACTCAAGCATCAAACACTACAACAACTCGAGCATCAAGTAATGCACGATCAAATAGCAGAAAGTTATCGTTGGATTTCATGATGTGCGTTTTCATGATTGCAATGATGTTATTTTGCAAGAGAATGATTTTTTAACCAATTGACTGAAAAAAACATTGACATAATTCTTTTTTTGTGCCTCATTCATATTTATTTTCAATAAAATTTAGAAGACGTATTGAACTGATTCATTAGTACTTTGTTGGATGTGGGTGTGGGTTTGAACATTATATTCTTTCCGCATCTACATCCTACCTTCAAGATCAAAATGTAATAATTCGATTTTATCTTGAAATTGTTGTCCTTCGAGTGTTTGTAAATTTTCTAATTCTTCTTCTAGTGCTTCTTCTGTTATTTTCAGCAATAACGTTAGGTAGTTTATTATGGCTGTTAAAATACAAATACCTATTTGTATGTACTACAATAACAAAATACATGTACAATTAGTATATCTACTGTGAAGTATTTACATAAAGTATTTTTTAATTTCTAAATGTCGGTATACTAATGTCATGATTGATCAAAAAATTCGTAAATATGATCGATGACAAAAATAATATTAAACAGACACGGGTACCAGAATCCTAAAACAATGTTAAATGAATTATTCGTAAAAACAATTCAAAACTCTATTCATCTTACCAGATTTAAAAGATCTTTTTTGAATAATACAATTGCACGTATAATACCAAAATAAATAAATACAATTAATATCCATACAAAAGCAAACAGGAAAATTAGATTTTCAGTAAAAGTTTTGAATGTTTTTGTTTTTAAAGACATATTAGAGTTTAACATTAAAATATCGACCTTTAATTCATTTATATATTTTGATGTCATAATTAGTTGTAAAATGATCAAAACAATTGGTAGAATCTTGAAAACAAAACAATTGAAAGTTGTTATGATATTTTTTCAATTATAGCACTTACAATATCAAATACACATAAAAGTTTTTCAATAAAAAGACCAGTTCTTTTTAAAATCTTTTTTTCCACTACTAATCTAGAGCTTATTCCCTCGAATAAATTCGAGGTTATAATTCAAATACGATCAGTCATTATTTCTGAAATAATATTAAGAAGTTATTTATAATTTTTAAAAAAAACTTTCTTTATTTTCGAAAAACAACATAGTAAAAATAAAACCAAAGACAAAGCTGAATAAAACGAAATAGAAACAAATTATTGGCTATTCAAACTAAGTCGAGGGATACAAATACAGCTATGGAATATAACAGATGACACTTTATATAGTTTATCTTTTTAATTGTTATGAAAAACTAATCGAATTAACTTTAAAAAGTATTAGTTACAAGTAGGGGCGAGAAGTTATTGTTATCTCCTTGTTATAAATAACAATAACAGTAACCAAAAAGTTATTGTTATTTGCAACAATAACAATAAATTCTCACCCCTAGTTACAAGTAACGCTCATCTAAAGACTTGCTCAGCTCTTTCTCGTAGAAATGGTGTGTCTTCACTACCAGTAAACTATTTAATCAAACAAATGTAAAAAAGACGAGTTCAGCTTCGAGTACCTTGACCCCGATTACCCTTCAGTCAACCCTTATAAACAAAATTCCTCATATATCCTGAACTATGTCTCGGGCCAACCAATAAAGTGCAGACATACAAGCAATCAAGCAAGAAAGCAAACAATATATTTCTGCTAGACTCTTCTCTACGGAAAAGAGAATAAAGAAAATTTGAAACTTTATTTATCTTACCGTCTGTAAGAATGATTCCAATCGATTCCAATTATTATTGCAGAAGAACAGTAACATTCCAGGTCTAACAATCTGGCCCGGAAACGGTCGCCAGATCCTTCTCCATCTTGAAGGTATGGGTGTGGGTATTATATTCTTTCCACACGCACACCCCACGCTCAAGATCAAAATCTAATAATTCGATTTTATCTTGAGTTTGTTCTTCTTCTAGTGCTTATAAATTTTGTCATTCTTCTTCTTGTGCTTCTTCTTCTATTTTGAGCCATAATCTTGGATAATTTATTGTGGCTTCAAAAAAACACATATCACCTTGTACATACTACAATAATGAAATAGATGTATAATTACTATATCTATCATGGAGTACTTACATAAAAGTATTTTAAATCAGTATATACGTTCATATCTTGATTTATTAGAAAACCAGTAAAACTAATGCATAGTAAAAACAAAAAGATGAAAAGACGAATAATAGTATTCTAAAAACAGTATAAAGTACTGTATTTTTACTAATTATTTCAAAGTTCATCCATCTTACTGTCGTCCATATAATATTTAACTCTTTTATATTATCATTTTTGAAAAATAAAAATAATATCCCCTGATTGATCGTGTGTTTCATATACGCCATTAAGACCGAGATAAATATTATTACATGGATCATATTTTCTACATATACCTCGAATAGTTTTTCTCTGAAAGAATTGCTGTTCTTTGATGCAAAAATATCCACTTTTCATTTATTCAAGAATATTTTTGTCAAAATTGACCCAAAAATTATCAATATACTTGTAACAAGCTTGAAAGTAAACAAATAAAAGTTGTTATATATTTTTTTGCAATTGTTGCACTTACAATATTGAAGAATAAGAATAATTTTGCTATCAATTTAGCACTTGATTTCGATATTTTTTCTCAGTGTGCATTCGATAAGTTATTTCCTGTACCGAATTTTCAGCTTTTTTCAGTGCAGTTCCTACTAGGATCTGTCAGTTTCTTGCAGATTTCAGCCGGAAACTCGCAGAATACTGCTTCTGGAATCATCGACTTGGAATAGAACGTTTTATAACACGTAATGTATACAGAAATAATATCGATGTGAAGAATAATTTATTGTTAAAATCAATTGAACAACCATCAGTGTAAGTGCCAGAACCTTAAAAAAACAAATGATAGTTGATATATTATTTTTGTACAATATTCAAATTATTTTTTTCAATTGTGGCACTTACCATATCAGATAATGGTAAAAATTGTGCTAACAATTTAGCACTAGATATAGATATTTTCTTTTCAGTTCGTATTCGATAACTGATTGTATTCGATGATTCGTAAATCACAATACGTATTCAATCAGATGCCTTTTCTGAAATATTAAAGAATTATTTACTATTTTTGAGGGGTGGGTGTGGAAAGAATATAATACCCACACCCACACCCTTGTTCTAATGTTGATATTTGGAAAAGTATTGATTAGTTCATTGTAAAAGTTTTCTTGTATTCTGGACATATATTTAATTTTGTATTTCTTAGAATTAAGTTCTTCTTTCAAAAAAGAGTTTAACATTTCCAATAACATATTGTATTTACTAATTCTGGAATGGTCAATTTAAATTGAAGAAATTTAAGTATAACATTGTTCCATCTATATTGCTGTAAATAATTTAAATCACTGTAGAGACGAACAAGTCTAATTGTTGTATTTTCATAAGATTGATATAGTTTGTATGTATTGTAATCAAAATGTTTCTTTATAAGGTTAAATCTTGTTTTAGTTCATGAAGGATGGATATTGACCATATATGTATATAATGGATTATCAGTAATTTTCCATTCAAAACTTGCTGACAACAATATGCAGAAAATAAAATTATGAAGACTGTTTTCTTTCTTCCTGATAGGTGCCTCTCATATATAGTCATGCATGCCAGATGTACATATGTAACGGAAGAAACAAGTAACGCTCGTCTGGACACTCGCTCAGCTCTTTCTTGTAGAACCGATTTGTTTTCGATACCAGTTAACTATGTATTCATACAATTTCAAAAACCGATTCCAGATTTGAATTCTCCTGACCCTGATTACCCTTCGGTCAACCCTTATAAAAAAGAAATTTCTTTTATATCTTTCCCTAAGTTTTGGATCAATCAAGCAGACAATTTATGTTTGCAAGACTCTTCTCTATAAGAAAGATAATTAAAATTGTAGTTGTGAAAACTCTTAAAATACCTACTGGATCCTGTCGGGTCTGGATGTTGATAATCGATAGATCCGACACCCTAGAACTTTCGGTCTAATTATTGGTCCTGGGATATATTAAATACATGTAATTTTTTAGTTAACAAGTACGATCTTTTCCTTTCGTTACATTCAAATAAGCCATAATAGGTTTCTTATAGTTGTTTGCCAGCATCCGTTCATTCCGCTATTCTCTACTACTGAGAGTTCTATATTATATAAGTAATTTAAAGTAAAACTTAAATTTTTTTTTCTGCTAATCGATACTGTCAACTAATCGAGAAGTTCAAATATAGTGTTATGTTAGAAGATATGCATTTGATATATAAATAAATATTAATCAAAAGAAAACCGTCAACAGTATCTAATATATTTCTGTATTAATTTTTATTACAACTATAGGAAATATAGTTTAAGCATGTGAATAATTCTATCTTTAAAATATGCTTGAAATCTACTCAGGGGATATCAAAAGTGCTGATGCCATCATTTAAATAGAAATCTTTTTAAAAAAATTTCTATTTATTTTGATAGTTCAAGTCGAGCTTTAGAATTGTATAATATTTCATAAAGCTTCGAACAATAGATAATATTGAAAATAAAAGAAAAATAATAAATGAGTAACAAAAGACTTTTTTTTAGGGTGTGGTGTAGATGTAACTACCTAGTTACGACTCACATCCACACCCATGCTCAAGATAGTATCTCATAATTATTTATTTCAGTATTTATGATTGAGAGATTTTTTTAAAAAAACACGAGATAACCAACACGAGCAATAAGTTAAATTTTTGAATAATATTCATATTTGAGTCTTTTAATTTATTCATTACATAATGATTAGTCACAATCTGACATTATGTTTTGTATTTTTCTTTTCAATCAATGAATAATACTTTGCTCTAGAAACTTAACAAATCGTCTTTTTTACTTCGTTTATTGATTTTTTAAAATGTGCAAAATAATAAAATGAAAAAGCAGAATGAGATAAGATTGTGAAAAAATCATAAAAAAAAAAGATAAAAATGTAGTTCATTTATTTAAAGTATGTATTTCGAATGTTTAATTTCCACCACCGCATGCGTGAGAGATACGACCTCCTGCTGTTGCACTCAAGAAGAGAGAAAGCATTGTTAATAAATGACCAGTTTCATATAAACTAGCTGAATAACCGTTATAAGTTACATAACGAGCACCTTCAGCCAATCCAGCTAACATAAAAAGACATGCTAAGAAGAGCAACGCAGCAGGAATATAATTGAGAAACCATTCACTTAAAATTCCAAATGCCATCACAAGTGTAAGCACAATACCAAAAGCGAGAAAGATAATACCGACAATAGTTAAAGCAGCAGCGTTTCGCATACGATTGTTGCAATCACTATAACTATTTACGACA